GTTTATATTAAATAATACTGGGAGAATAAAAACAGATTATAAACACTGATCAAAACACTTATATTCATACTCGTTAAGAGTTAGAAAGGGAATATGAAATAATATAACTTGAATTACCAACAACTTGTTGCCCCAAATTAAGGAATGGTTTAAAAATGTTAGTTCATCATGGGGTACCTAGGTGGCTCAGTCAGTTAAGCATCTGACTCTCAATTTTGGCTCAGGTCATGATCTCTGGGTCGTGAGGCTCCATGCTCAGTGTGGAGTCTGGTTGAGATTCTGCCTGTCCCGCTGCCTCTGCCCCTCCCCTCACTCGCTCACGTGCTCACACAGGTGCATGCGGACGCGTGCACACACACACACACACACACACACACTCTTTCTAAATAAATTAAAAAATCTGGGGCGCCTGGGTGGGTCAATCGGTTAAGTGGCTGCCTTCGGCTCAGGTCATGATCCCAGGGTCCTGGGATCGAGCCCCACATTGGGCTCCTTGCTCAGCAGAGAGCCTGCTTCTCCTTCTCCCTCTGCCTGCCACTCCCCCTGCTTGTATTCTCTCTCTCACTCTCTCTCCCTCTCTGTGTCAAATAAATAAATAAAATCTTTTAAGAATTAATTAAAAAATCTTTTTATAAAAAAGTTAGCTCATTAATGAAATGAAGCCATTACAAGGATAATTATTGGGGTGCCTGGCTCAGTCTGTTAGTCTGTAGAGCATGGAACTCTTTTTTTTTTCTTAGCATGCAATTCTTGATCTCAGGTCATGAGTTCAAGCCCCACATTGGGCATAGAGCTTACTTTAAAAAAAAAAAAAAAAGGATGGGGTGCCTGGGTGATTCAGTCATTTGAGCCTCTGGCTCTGATTTGAGCTCAGGTCATGATCTCTGGTCATGAAATCAAGCGCCCTGTTGGGCTTACGCTCAGCTTGGAGTTGCTTGAGGTTCTCTCCCTCTGCCCCTCTCCCCACTTTTGTGCACAATTGCATGCTCTCTCTCTCTCTAAAATAAATAAATCCTTTTTTAAAGGATAATTATTAAGATCTGTAAAATGATTAATTGCTCATGATGCATTTTGACATGAAAAGTATATATTATGATATGTTAAAAATGATTTTCAGTGAGTTCTTTCTTTTTTTTTTAAAGACTTTATTTACCCATTTGAGAGAGAGAGTGCATGGGGAAGGGGCAGAGGGAAAGGGGGAGAGAGAGAATCTCAAGCAGGCTCCACACCTAGCGTGGAGCTCTATATGGAGCTTGATCTCACAACCCTGAGATCATGACCTGAGCCAAAACCAAGAGCTGGTTGCTTAACCGACTGAGCCACCCAGGCACCTCTCTTTATTTTTTTTATAAAGCTGCTTAAATTTACTTTGTTTTAACCAGTTATTATACCCGAAAACTTGACAGTAAAAACTTAGATGCTTAAATGGATTAAAAGTAGATTGTAGAATTTTTTTTTTATAATTTTTGCGATCTGAAGAGAAACCAACAAAATAGATTCTAGGGGTACCTGCATGGCTCAGTCAGTTAAGCGTCTGACTTTGGCGCAGGTCATGATCTCAGGGTCCTGGGATTGAGCCCCGCATCGTGCTCCCGGCTCAGCAGGGAGTCTGCTTGTCCCTTTCCTCTGCCCCTCCTCCCATTCATGCTCTTTCTCTCTCAAATAAATAAAGAAAATCTTTTTAAAAAATAGATTCTGGGGCGCCTGGGTGGCTTAGTCGTTAAGCGTCTGCCTTCGGCTCAGGTCATGATCCCAGGGTCCTGGGATCGAGCCCCACATCGGGCTCCCTGCTCTGCGGGAAGCCTGCTTCTCCCTCTCCCACTCCCCCTGCTTGTGTTCCCTCTCTCGCTGTGTCTCTCTCTGTCAAATAAATAAATAAAATCTTAAAAATAAATAAATAAATAAATAATAGATTCTGGGGATGCCTGGGTGGCTCAGTTGGTTAAGGATAAGGTTAAGGCTCAGTTGGTTAAGCTTCAGCTCAGGTCATGATCCCAGGGTCCTGGGATTGAGTCCCACATCAGCTCCCTGCTCCCTGCTCCGTGGAGAGTCCGCTTCTCCTTCTGCCTGCTGTTCCCCCTGCTTGTGCTCACTCTCTTTCTCTCTTCTGACAAATATATACAATCTTTAAAAAATTAAAAAAAAATAAAAATAGATTCTGTTTGTGATGGTTACATTAATTTTATATAAGGGGAAAGAATAGGCCAATATATGATTTTCTTTTTATTTTACTTAATTTTTTAAAAAGATTTTATTTTTAAGTAATCTCTACACCCAATGTGGGGCTCAAACTCACAACCCTATCAAGAGTTGCATGCTCCGGGGTGCCTTGGTGGCTCAGTCGTTAAGCATCTGCCTTTGGCTCAGGTAATGATCCCAGGGTCCTGGGATCGAGCCGCGCATCGGGCTCCCTGCTCCGCGGGGAGCCTGCTTCTCCCTTTCCCACTCCCCCTGCTTGTGTTCCTGCTCTCACTCTCTCTGTCAAATAAATAAATAAATAAAATCTTAAAAAAAAAAAGTTGCATGCTCCACTGACTGAGCCAGCCAGACACCCCTGATTGTCATATATTTAAAGATTTTGGGGGGTGCCTGGGTGGCACAGTCAGTTGAGCATCCAACTCTTGGTTTTGGCTCCAGTTGTGATCTTAGGGTCGTAAGATTGAGGTCTGAGTTGGGCTCCAGGCTCAGTGTGGAGTCTGCTTAGGACTCTCTCCCTCTGCCACTCCCCTCCCCTCAAATAAATACATAAATCTTTAAAGATTTTGGAACTTTTTCTTGTCTGATAAGGACATCCAGAAGGTTGAATTAACAACATTCACAGTGTCTTCTATTCCAGAGATACTTTGACATCATTCTTGGTATATTATTAGAGGTAACTAAACTTGATATAGTTTATTGTGGTGATAAAGTGGCTTTATAGAGCAGGGTGAAAAAAAGTAATACTCACCAATCATCAACCATAAATCTAATCTTTGTTAATACGCATACACATTGTTTAGCAAAGTTGTAAATTTTAGTCATTACTTGACTCAGGCTGTCAGTATGCAACTTGAATTGAGCTATTTTTAAAGGAAATGACTTCCTTATCACCAGCATCTTCAAATGTTGGACCAGATGACTTAAGCTTTAAGCTTCTTTACAGCATTGAGCTTCTCTAATTCATATTTTATATATTTCTGTGTATGGGCATGGTACACTTTATAATAGCATCTTAACATATGTATCTTTGCAATAACAGTTTAACAGTTATTTATTTATTTATTTATTTAAGATTTTACTTAGAGAGTAAGTGAGAGAGAAAAAGCATGAGCGGGGTGTGGGTGGTGGGCGGGGGAAGAGCAGAGGGAGAGGGAGAAGCAGACTCCCTACTAAGCAGGGATTCAGATGTGGGCCTCGATCCTGGGACTCTGGGATCATGACCCAAGCCGAAGGTGCCCCAACAGTAGTCATTTAAAACATATTTGAGGGGCGCGTGGGTGGCTCATTCAGTTAAGCATCTGCCTTTGGCTCAGGGCATGATCTCCAGGTCCTGGGATCTAGCTCCACATTGGGCTCCCTGCTGAATGGGAATTTGCTTCTCTCTTTCTCTCTCTCTCCCTCTGGCCCTCCCCACTGCTCGTTCTCTCTCTCTCAAATAAATAAATAAAATCCTAAAAAAAATAAAAATTAAAAAATAAAACATATTTGAGTTCCTACTATGTGTCAGGCACTATGCTGTGTGCTGAGTTCTGAGAATATGGCAGTAAATGGCACAGACAAGGCCCTTCACCTCCCAGAATTCTGTACATTTTTAAGAAACTTCATGGAAAAATTTGAAGCAGTTTGAAAATCATGAATTAGATCATTTATTAAATTGCTTTTTTATTTTGTATCTTTAAAAGGCAGTTATAGATAGTTAAGAAATAAGTATATATTTTTTTAAGGTTTTGTTTGTTCCTCGGGTGAGCCAAGGGTTTTTGGAAGGGAAAAAAAAAAAAAAAGATTTTATTTGTTTATTTTAGAGAGAGAGGGGGAAGGAGGGTGCATGTACTGGGGGAGAGGGGCAGAGGGAGAGGGAAAGAGAGAATCTTAAGCAGACTCTGCTCTGAGCGCAGAGCCTGACACAGAGCTCCATCTCACGACCCTGAGATGATGACCTGAGCCAAAACCAAGAGTCAGTTGCTTAACTGACTGAGGGCCCAGGTGCCCCAAGAAGTATCTTTATTTAAAGAAATATAGAGAGGCATTAAATCTTCACCCATATTTAACCCTGTTTAAACTTAGAGTAACAAGTAATTGTAAAATTTATTTTTACTAAGTATTTCTGAGTAATATTAAGTAGTATAGAATTTTATTTTCCTGCCTCAGATTTCTTATCTTTATGATAGGAAGCTTCCTTTCTTCCTCACTCCCTCCCTCTCTCCCTAATGGGCAGTATATAGATACATTTAGGGGGAAAATATACACATTGCCTATAGTAATATGCTTTTATGATCTGAACGAGTGTGTTAAATAAGTATGTTTAACTTGAATTCAAGACTAACTTATTAGGTGGCGCCTGGGTGGCTCAGTCATTGGGCGTCTGCCTTCGGCTGGGGTCATGATCCCAGATTCCTGGGATCGAGTCCCACATCGGGCTCCCTGCTCTGCGGGAGAACTGCTTCTCCCTCTCCCACTCCCCCTGCTTGTGTTCCCTCTCTCGCTGTGCCTCTCTGTCAAATAAATAAACAAAACCTTTAAAAAAAAAACTTATTAAAGGCTAATCAAATCATAGTAAAAAGATTAAAATCCTTATCTTTCTATTATTAGAATCCATTAAGAAGTAAAATATACCCAGACCCAATATACTTGATCTGTCTGATAGTAAGGTAATGATATTAATATCTTATTACTTCCTGTAGTCTTGTTCTTACTTGAGAACAATTGAATAGCTTTGTACACTGTAGATAGGAATGGCTGCACAAAAATTTTAGATGAAGTTACATATTGTTACTGATATTAATTTAAACATAATTTTCTAGGTAATTAATGATCCTGTCCATGGCCACATTGAACTCCACCCTCTCCTCATCCGAATCATCGACACACCTCAATTTCAGCGGCTTCGATATATCAAACAGTTGGGAGGCAGTTACTACATTTTTCCAGGCGCTTCGCACAATCGATTTGAGCACAGTCTGGGGTAAGAAGGCAGTTAATGGGGAATTTACAGTTTTAAGTACCTTCTTTATCATGAAATGACTGTCTCATCTTATCTTTTAGAGAACAGTTTTACAAAATGGTAATAATATCTATATTTTGTTGATGAGAAGATTGAGGCTTTGATGTACCTTGCTATATTTTATTTTATGTATTCTTGTAAGCCAGTTCAGATCTTTACTGGAAAGATAAACTGTCTATTGACAGGTCATTTGGATGACATATTTGTGTTTAAATATTTAAAACCTAACAGGGTTGGTTACTGATATAACTAACTTTATAAGTTTGATTTTTTTAAATTTTCCTGTTTAGTCTTGTATGGAATTGCCTTTGAAAGCCGATGATTTTCTTCACCTATCAGGAAATTTGTAGATCAGGAAAATATTCATAAACTTAGAGAAGGTGGCACCTCTGTTACATACAACTACGTTGAGAATTTGGTCTGCTTTTCCATTATAAAATCTGGAGCCAGGAGAATATGGACTGGGAAGAACTGGACAGTTTTCTAGGTTTCATGAAGTACTCACCCTGTTTTATTTTGTTTTGTTTGTTTGAAGTGTTTCTTGTTTTTTGTGGGGTTTTTTTTTTTTGAAGTGTTTTTAATAGCCAGAACACAAGTGTCTACCCAAATGTACATTCATTCATCAATACATATTTATTGAAAACTCACTAGGCCCTACCAAACCAACAACGTAGCAATTGTCTCTAACTTCGTGGAGTTCAGAGTTAAAGGGGAAAGAAAGATATTGTATTCTCAGGAATTACTTTCAGGGGGAAATGCTAAAAGTGTTTTTTTTTTTTTTTTT